TTCATTTTTCAGAGACAGAGAGACAGAGCATGAGTGGGGGAGGGGCAGAGAGAGAGACACACACAGAATCCGAAGCAGGCTCCAGGCTCTGAGCTGTCAGCATAGAGCCCAACGTGGGGCCCAAACTCATGGACAGAGAGATCATGACTTGAGCCGAAGTCGAACGCCCAACTGACTGAGCCACCCAGGCGCCCCACCCCATTAGACATTTAAGTAAGCATGTATTTAGTGGAAATGTCGCTGCACGTAATTATCGGCAATACTCCTATGGATGTGAAAATCACATTGTTCTTATTTTTTTTTAATATTTTTAAATTTATTTTTGAGAGAGAGAAAGAGGGAGACAGAGAACCCAAAGTAGTCTCCCCACTGTCAGTGCAGAGCCCAACACGGGGCCCAAACTTATGAACCATGAGATCATGCCTGAGCAGAAGTTGGATGCTTAACCGACTGAGCCACCCAGGTGCCCCCAAATCACATTGTTTTTAAATGACATTTTACGAAACACTTTTGCCCATTGTTGAAATTCAAAGCCTGGATACAAGAATGTTACTTACTACCTATGAACATTTGTAGTTTGAGTCTATTCACAAAAACACCCAAACAGAAACTGAAGAAAAAGTTGACTCTCTTCCTTCTAGATCAATAGTAACCAATTTCAAGGGTCAAAGATGGAGATACAGACATTCTGCTCCTTTTAGTCTTCCCCAGTAATGGGGAGCTTCTTTTTCTTATCAAAGATCAATGTTCCAAAGGAGAATAATGAAGCTGTCATTCACAGAGAGACATGGGACAGAGAGAAGAGAAGGGAGGGGAAAGGAAAGGGAACATGCAGTTCACATTTGAAATCCGTTGAGGCTTTGAGAGAGAAATTCCCAGTTCACTTCCTATGTGGTTCTCTCCAACATTTTAAATAAAAAATTATAGGGTACATACAGGCAAGTTTATTATAAAGGATTTATTCTAATGGAATTTTGGAAGCCAGATACATTTGAGATTTTGTCCCCATTTTCAGCATTCCTATAGCAAAAATCCAGGACTCTCATATCATTTCTACCACTCCCTTTTGAGACCCAATTCACATATCACTCCCCCTGGCAAGCTGTCTTTGAAGACACCTCCCGTGGTGCTGTTTATTCATTCAGCAAGTACATAATGGGAACCCCTTCCCAGCAGCTGCTGCCCTAGCTCCTATTAACACCGTGATTATCTGGTTGCCTGTCTTCCCTCTTTCCCCACAGACACGGACATCTCCAAAGGTTGGGGTCGTGTCTTTCCTGTTTTGTATTCTCTGTGCTCAGCAATGGGCTTGACACACAGCAGGGCTAAGAAAATACCTGCTGAATGAATGAACAAATGGTCAAAAAAAACCAAAACCAACTCGTTTTATTTTCATGTCATGGGGTAAATATTCATTTTGGAATAACACTTGCAACGAGTTTCCAAGTCATACCATCTCTACGACTGTAAATAGGCAATGTTCTTTGGGCTCTGCCCTAATTTACTGCCAACCAGAGGGTAGGAGAGCCCCCTGCGCAGGAGAGAAGAGAGACAGGCGGCGTGTGGCCTGCAGCTTGTCTCGTGGTGCAGAATCCATGCAGGAACTGCTGTGCTGGAAACCTGAATGTGCTTGTGCACTTCTATCCCATTCGTCCTGGTCTGGGATCCTCATTAACAAGCTGCAGCTTTCCCTTTAAAACAGAAAAACAGTCCTGTCTTCACAAGATGGCAGGGATCCCAGCTGAAGACAGAGGGGGCAGCGGCAGGAATCTCCTTGTGGGCGGGGACCTCTTGCAAAGCCTGAGGGGCTCCCTCAGTCACTTTCTCCCTGTTTTGAGACCAAAGCATGTGAATACTAGCAGGTCAAGCTCTCAATACTCACTCTAAATGTTTCTGAAACAGCCATCCCAATACCAAATGCACCAAATATATGTATTAAGGAGTAGAACTTGTTATGTGGAAATCAGTCATTAAACCTAACACCATTTCTGTCTTTTCCCATTGGGCCAAGTTAAGTTTCATAAAATCCTACGACTATATACTACAGTGTACATTACTTTAAATTGGGCTGCAGGTTAAAAGTTGACTCTCTTATATTCCCACTGGTTTATAGAACAGAACCCTCAGCCAAAAAGAAAAGCTTCCCAAGAATTATTTTTGTCCTGGTAACAGCTGAGCTGCCACCAAGCCCCACAGGTCAAAGCACCAGGACAGTTTGCAGGGCAGCATTCAACAAGGGCCCCTGGCACCCCACTCTGGACCCACTGTCTCTAAAGAAGTCGATCCTCTCCTATCTCCTAAAGGCCATGAACGTTCCCTGGAACAGCAGGCTAATAGTCAGGAAATGATGCATAACACAACTCTTGTGACTTAGGGAAAAAGAGGCTCTGGAGCCAAATGGACTCTGTTCAAACTCAACCCCTGAACACACAGGATAAGCCTGGGCGCATTACCTACATCACCCCCCCCCCCCCCCCCCCCACCTCACTTTCTGCATCTGTCAAATGGGGACAAATCTTAACAACTCGATGGGACTGTTGGAGAAAAAGTGTTTTACATTATACCTGCCACACTGCAAATGCTTGATAAATGACAGCTCTTACTACGTACTGTTTTGTCGTTTTCTCTTGTTTTCAAAGAAATACATGCTATCTAATTAAAAATTTCAACTGGGTTAAAATATATGTAATAAAAAGCAAAAGGACCTTTTAACATCCCTCCCACCTCCACTTTAAATGCAACTTTCCAGGCTTTTTAAAAGCCCCTTTCTATACATGTGCTTGTATACGTACCTGCATATATGTTTGCCCCTTAATATGGGTCCATACAATCTTTTGCTCTGCAACTTTTTTTAAAGGTTTTGTTTGTTTGTTTTTTTTAAGATTTTATTTTTATGTAATCTCTACATACAACGTGGGGCTTCAATTTACAATCCTGAGATAAAGAGTCACATGCTCCTCCAACTAAGCCAGCCAGGGGTTCCTACAATTTGCTTTTTTAACTTAACATCTCAGATTTACCTTCTGGGTTTTTTTGTATACTTTCCTTTTTTTTTTTTTTTTTTAAATTAAGCTCTTATCTTCCCGTTAATACTTCTAGCTCATTCTTGTTAATGGCTGCATAATGTTTCATAGTGTGAATGTACCAACATTTGAGCAATCACTCCATTAACGGACATTTGGGTTGTTGATGATTTTTGTTCTTATGAGTACTGCATAAACATCTTTTTTATCTATAAACAGTGTTTTGTACATACTTAGGTACAAGG